CATATGCTTTTAAAAGCTGCGGTGTACTGGTCTTTCACTGCCACCCATAGTTGTTCTTGGTCTCCCTCTGACTCTTTTGCCTTCTGGTTTTCCAGTGAAAGCCAGACGATATATGCCTGTATGTGTGCTCAAATGTCCAAGAAACTGTTTTTGTCGCATACTAATTGCTTCTATCAATGAGCGGCCCTTATTTTCACATAAGCTGATCTTTTTTAAAATGAATCTACCCAGCAAAAGTAACGTACAAACGTGAGGCAGCGTGGTGGAATCAGGCTCTCGTCAATTTTTGGGCTTGCAGAGTTATTGGTATCATCTTAAAGCTTGTTCATTAGTCTTTATTTGGGTGAAAATAATATCCATTTATCTCGAATACAAGTCGAGATATTTGCGAATGAAGGGGGTGGGGGTCACCTGTTTTCAGAGGTAATATTAGTGAGAAAATGGCCTCCAAAGTTTAGTTATTTCGTTAGCTTAAGAGTCCGTGGTAACTGAACATTTACATTTTTTGAGCCTTTAATCCGCATTTCTCAAAAAAAATCTACACAGAAATGAGTTCTTTAATGGGCATGAAAGGTGTTGAGCCAAAAAAAATTGAAAAAAGTTCACAAACCTGTGGAAAAATGCAGGTTTCTTCACTTTGATTATTTTGACCAGAGCCTGATTTCACCACGCTGCCTCACAATGTTAGTTTAGCATGGTCTACTGACCAAAGTAAACTTTGAGTAAACAGAAACATATCGACACAATGTCGGTCATTTAGAGCTACGAAAAAAGGAAGACAGACAAGGACAGAAACAAACGAACAACCAAAAATTAATAGAAAAGAAGTAGGCTAGGTCTATCAGTGGCGTCTCATCGACCACACACACCCCTGTAAACAAGAAAAGGGGGGCTCTCGTGGCCTAGAGGTTAAGGTGTTCGCCTCTCATTCAAAGGTCCCGGGTTCGAATCTGGGTACGGACGGAACACATTTTCTTCTCTAAAATTGTCTCCTTTCACCTCTTTTCCTGCTCTCTGGCAATATTCTGTAGTTTGCTTTCGTATCCGCCTGCTGCCCCCATCCCCTCGCCTCCTTTGCCCCCTCCTCTGGGCTCCTGACTCTTTCTGCAGCCTTTCTACTGGTACTCTTTGGCTCCTTCTTATTGCTGTCTTTCAGCCACACCCCTGATCTTCTAGTAGGAAAGATCTACACCTACCCTTCTCGGACAAGGGCAAAAATCTCGAAGGTCCCGTATGCAAGTTGCGCACGTTAAAGATCCCTTGGTGGTCTAAAACCGATAAGAGTAGGCTTCGGCCGCCACCCGGGCAAAATTCAAAATTTCCTACCAACTGAAAATGTTTCATGTGTCCCGCACGCTCATATGACATTATGCAGTTGTGAGCGCTATAAAACACTGAAAAAAGGGGAAAACAAGAAAAGAAACCAGACAAATATATCAAATATAGATCTAGCTCGAAGAAATGAACGCACTTTCTGTAGTTGGGTAACCAGCAGACAACTCATAGTGCTCCTAGGAGAGGCTTGCAGTTTAAATATTAGTAAAGTTACACGGCATAATTTGCTGCACAATTAAAAGTCCTGTAAGTGCAGAAGATTGAAGGTTATTAGAGAGTAACTTGGTAATAAAGAAAACGAGGAAAGATAAAGACAATAGATGTTGGGTAAGAAGGAGCAAACCACACCAGAGAATCCATCAACAATCCACCATCATGGCTGAACAAGCCTGAAAACACACACAATCACACACACAATCACACACACACACACACACACACACACACACACACACACACAC